CACGCTCTGATGCTAAGGAGTCCTACTCCCCCTCCCCACCTGGAAAGAAATCTGCTCCAAATGCAAAACACAAGCAGAGGAGAGGAGTTTTAGTTTCAGTTTCAATTTCACAGCACCAAGCAGCTTTAATACAGAACAGTTGAGCTAAGCCATGCCCAGGCTCCTTGCTGTCTCCTTCTTGCTCACACAGCAAATAGTGTTTCAGTTTCCAAACAGCCCTCAACTCTCTCACACCCTGACAGGATGCTAGCCAGATGAATACCGATGGATGCTGGTAGGCAGAGGCAGAATTCCCCCCCACTTTCTTTTCCTCCCAAAAAACTAAGCCCGACCAAATAGTTTCGTAGTGAAGCACGGGGATCCAGCTAGTTATTTACTATCTTTAATCTTAATTTTTGATGGTTTGACCGCAATGTTTAATGGCAAAAACGAAGACCTTCTAGCTAAGTCTTGTCTCCCAACGGCGTCTTTTCTCTCCAACTCCAGGTCGCTGGATGGCCGGCTACAAGTCTCCCATCGAAAGGGACTCCCGCACGTCATCTATTGCCGGCTGTGGCGGTGGCCAGACCTCCACAGCCACCACGAACTGCGCGCCATGGAAATGTGCGAATACGCCTTCAACATGAAGAAGGACGAAGTCTGCGTGAACCCCTATCACTACCAAAGAGTGGAAACGCCAGGTAGGGCCAACCCAGGAGCCCCTAGGGGAAGGGGGTTGCGGGAGCGAAGGGAGCGGGGGGGGGGGTGTCCCCTCATCAGAAGCCCCAAAGCGGGCCGCGTTTGTGCGACCGGCTGCTTTTCTCCGCAGTATTACCTCCGGTTTTGGTCCCACGACACGCGGAAATTCCGGCCGAATTCCCTCCGCTCGACGACTACAGCCATTCCATTCCCGAGAACACGAATTTCCCCGCTGGCATCGAGCCCCAGAGCAACTACATTCCAGGTATGGCGTCCCCAGGAAGGAGAGAGCGCAGGAGAGCGGGGAGGGGCTTCCTCTCAAGCGCCAGGAAACCTCGCTTCGCTTTGGCCCTCAGGCCTCCTCCTTGCCCAGCTAACTCTGGGCGTGCGGGGAAGGAGACCCTTTTGGAAAGTGCTGGGAGCTCTTCCTCCCTTCTGGTGGGCTTCCTCCTCCAGGGCCTCTGTTATCCTCCCCTCCAGCTCAGATTCTTTCCAGTCCTGACCCTCCACTGCTCCTCGGTGTACTCACTACTCACCTCTGCTTCCAAGAAGCCTTCACTGCTTATTTCACAACCAGGTGCTAAGCAAGGATTGGCTTATAAAGCCCTCTCTTATTTTATTTTATTTTTTATTTTCAAAGACCAAATCTTGACCAGAGGAGTTTAGTTTACTTTTTTTTTTACTTTTTTAAAAAAAATTGTCATTGCACCTCCTACAACGAAATCAAACACCGTCTTAACTGCACATCATGACCATGAAAATAAACACAAGCACACACCCTTCACCCTTCACCTTTCACACATTGAACCGGAAACCCCTGACACCACACCAGCAGTGCACTATACAGCAAAAGAGCTCCTGCCCTGAGATAGAAGCTGTTTTTCAGCCTATTTGTCCTTGTTTTTATTGTCCTGTACCGGCTGCCAGATGGTAATAGTTCAAAAAAAGGGTTCCCAGGATGAGATGGATCTTTGAGGATGTTTTGAACTTTTAAGGCAGTGGGAGCTATAAAGCTCTTCCAAAGAGGGGAGAGGACAACCAATGATCCTCTGGGCAATGATGTTAACCATCTGGAGTGTTGTCCTATCTGCCACGGTGCAATTGGCAAACCATACAGAGGTGCAGTAAGTTAAAAGTCTCTCTCTGGTGCAGCGGTAGAAGGTCACCAGCAGTTTTTCATTCAATTGTTTCCTGAGAAATCTCAGGTAGTATCATTTTGACCAGAGCTGCAATATGAGAGCCCCCCAGGTCAGGTCCTCTTTTAGGGTAACACCCAGAAACTTAAAACTGGTCACTTGCTTTACTCAGTCACCCTGAATACGCAAGGGCTGGTGGTCTGATCTGTTTACTCTTTTATGCTCATCTTTTGGGCCTTTCTAGCTGTTACATTTTGCAAGAGAGGATGCTTCTTCGGTAGTTGTAGTAGTAGTGGAGAATGGAGGAGGAGGAGAAGGAGAGAATGGAGGAGGAGGAGGAGGAGAGAATGGAGGAAGAGGGAAGAGAAGAATGGAGGAGAAGGAGGAAGAGGAGGAGAAAGGAATGGAGAAGGAGAAGGAGAGAATGGAGAAGGAGGAAGAGGAGAGAATGGAAGAGGAGGA